GGTTTCTTTTACAATTCCTCACAGATGCCACTGTAATTGACGAAGCAAACTTAGGATTCTGCACCTTTTACTACCCACTGTTAGTGTTTGTATTCGCTTGCCGAGTATTGGCAACACGACAGTACCAGTGCGTTTTCTTCCTAAATCATGGAGCTGTTAGCAACCACATGCAGCAACGAAAGTGCTATTTCGAATAGGTGTTATTGAATTGTCTCACAACCGTTAATTGAGGCTATCCACACACCTTATGCAGTGATGCAGCATGTGTAGGAGCTGTGGTGAAGTGCAGCAAGAAAACAGTCTTCCATGTGCCTGCACAAATTATCATTCAAAGTACCAGTGATGTGCCGTTTAAAGGATGTCGTGACTGAAGTTGACTGTTTCTACCCAAATGTGAAAAGGTACTGCTTGGTTCACTGCTACGTTTAGTGCATACGTGTTATTTCGATCAAAGCTTGATTAACCGCAAAAAATAGATGTTTGCTGCTTACGACCTTGCACTTCGGGCCAGTTGCAATCACATACATTACCAACTCTCTTCCCAATTGGCAGCGCAAGCAAGTGTTACGACTTCCAACTCCAGAACAACGCTTCCAATGTGAGCTTCTAAAGTGTCCAATGCACAAATTGGAATTTCCAATATACACCTATATTTTGGAGCATTTTACAAACTTGCACACTTCATGCTCCACTACTTTCTCCTCAATTGACAGAATCGTATAGAGGTACACTTCATACGTGCAAATACTCTCTTGCTCTCAAGGTCATTGGAGAGAATTCGAGCCGCCATGGAGTGTGTGACAGCCACCACCAGTTCTGGCATTCAAGGGCGCATCTACGTGGATGAGGTCTCCGATCTCTCGCACACTTGCGGCAAACCAGCTGCTGCCAAGGCATCTATTCTGGAGGCGCTTTCTTTCCAGATTCCCACGTTGGGAGCAGGTAGTGTCTGCGCTCACTTACACACCTACGTAGGGGTCCGTAGCAGGAGGTCACAGCACGGCGACAGCATCGCATTCCAATAAGGGTTTGGGTGAAGCTACGATGTCTCCGAAACTCATGGCCTATCCTTCTAGACGGATTCGTCGGTTGGAGGCCTTGGCTAGGAATGGAGTGTCTTGTGGTCTGGTAGCGTAAGTACCAATATGCACCCTAAACACAGGATTCCGAAATATTTGGATGCGAATCGCTGGTGCTGTTTGCAGACCATGCACACAATCTCGTTGTGTAAATGATAGAATGCTCGCTTTTTTGTTTAAGTTTAACTAGTCAGGTTTGTAAACAAGATGGTTTGGGTGAAGCAGGGGCTTTGTTTAAATGGGTGCGGAGCCTGCTCTCAAATAGGATGTCAAGATCCATGCAGACTTATTGATGTGCCATCCAAGTGCGATGAGCGCGATTCCGTCAGCCGTGTGGACTTGACTCGTCTGCGCTCGTCTTCAGGCACTGTGAACCAAATGTTCACTGCTTACATTCGATTCATTCATGACAACTGCTTCCACTCTAATAAGGCATCAAGTGTTCCGAGTCTTGATTTATGTGCAGAGTGTGCGTTTCGCCAACAAACATGCACAACATACTAACGATAACACGCTTCAAGCGTTTGCGTGAGTAGAAGTGGTAGAGTGGACAAACGACATCTGCCCCACTTGACCGTGAGTTCCTAGTTGTGTCACCATCAACGCAGTTTGAACACCAGTACAAATTCATGTATGAAGAATACTTTGTTGAATCACTAAAAGAACGCTTGGAAGCTGTGTTGACTACCCGACTTATGGTTGTATTCCTGCATGTTCTGCTGACAAACAAACATCTTCCATGTAGAGGTTTGTAGATGATTACTGATAATTTGGCTGCAAGCAACTTATTTTCACATTCTTCCTCCTTAGCATCATCCTCTTCTTCATCATTGAAGTGCAGATTCTCTCCTCAAGCATCGATCATATCCCTCGAAAACAACTGCAACTCATTGAAGAAGGTGAAGTAAAAGAGTACAAAATTGGGATGGAGAATACGATTCCCTCGACAGTGTGTCGATGGCCGCCGTCGGAGATTGGAAATATTGTGGTGAAGGAGGTCTTCAATATCACCCTCTGTGTGCGAGGTTCGTTGCAACCACGAAGGCGTAAACGGACAAAAGCATATACGCTGAATGAACTCTTTGGGTTATCGAAAATGACGGGATCCTTTGCCTTTGACGAGTTCAGTTTGCTGCCGCGGCGATTTTGGGGAAGAATGAGGGTTCCGGAGGCCTATCTAACCTACCCTCAGGATGTTCCCATGACGGACGTTGTTGAGGGCATTAAAAGGGGCCTTCCTGTGCTCGAGGTTAGTACTTCCATGTCATAATCTCCAATCCCAAACAGATGATGGAAAGCAGAATAGTTGATATATAGCATGGTAAACACAACGTAGTAAAGGTTGAGGTAGGAAGTGTCGATGTTACCTGATTGCACTTGAAACCTGATTGTGATTGAGGGCATGCCTGAGCCTGCGTAGTTGGACTGCATGAACCACTTTGTTGACACGTGGATGGGGTCAGGCGGCCTCATGCACGATCAACAACTGGCTTATCATCGCAGCCACTTGTAAAGGATTGGTAGCACCAATAATGGTCAACTTTCATCAGAAGATGTCGGTCTCTTCCCAACCTACCACCTCCTTCAAATGTCATTGAATGGACTGGAAAGGCAACGGTGCCAATGATAATCTAGACCACAGCCATCTTTATTTAGGGTCGCTTTAGCCTTCCTCATTAAAGACAGCATTGCGACAACGGAGTTATCAGGGTAATAAACTAGATTGCAACAAGAAACGGTTTCAGCATAGGGAAGATGTGGATGCTTTCCATTAACCAATTAACCAAATATTCATGCTGTGCAATATTCATCGTATTGATGCCTCGCAGAGGTGTTTGAATGACACGTACTTCATCCCTTCATGTGAGTGCGTCCATGTAGCTGTTCAAAAGGAGGATTATCGCAGTTTGAAATGATGCACAATCCCTTGAACCCACAGCCACTACTCTGACTTCACCCTGTAATATTCAACGCTCACATTGCTCAAAGTCTCTGTTCAGAATTTGCACAGCAACAACATGTCCTGCAAAAGTAGTCTTATAACTGAACTAGGCCAGAAGGGAGTGTCTTGAAACCTCATTCCGACTAAAACCACCTCGTCTTAATCTCTGATTGCGAGAGGTGCGCTTGATAGGTGAGCATACTGAGGAGGCTAACAGTTAATTGAGGGTCAAATGGTGTCAAAATTGTGCTGCGTGAGTTGTGTGTGCTTGCAAAATATTCCCGCATTCTAGTAGCCCAACATCCCCAATGCACCAACTCCAGATGTTCTGTATTCGTCTTCACTGCAACAAGCTGATGTGACACATGTTGCATTTCAGATGCCAGATTACAACTTCCCAATTACAATTCTCAGTGCACCAAAGTCGGCATGCCGAGAGGGTGAACAGTACGACCTCGTAGTAGTTTTCAAGAGCGCACTGCTGGCGTGGAATGCACGATCGTCCATTCGTGAATACATGCATTATGAGAAAAGCCGAGGCAGTGGAATGAAAGTAGGTGTGGTTTTTAGCGTGGGTTTGCCCAGGAAGCACGGTGGCAGGATGTTTGATCGTGATGGTGAAGTGATCAGTCTGCCAGGTTCGGCTGGAGACCTGCTGGAAATGTACGATGGTCGAGAGGCGGAGGTGATGGCGCGTATCTACAAAGAAATGCAAATGTGCGACGACATCCTGCTGGCAGACTACGAAGACACGTACTACAACCTCACTTGGAAAACCGTCACCAATTACCGGTGGATGTCGGCATTTTGTAGAGTGGAAGATGTCAAGCTCTTCATGACCATGGATGACGACCATCGAGTAAATCTCTCCATGGTGGCTGCCTTCTTGAACCGTGTTCCACAATACACAAGACGCAATTCCATCTTCGGATCTGTGGCCAGGAGAGACTTTGCTCACCGATCGCCTCGCAACAAATTGTACCTCTCCTTTCGCGAATTTCCGTGGGACCGCATGTACCCTTACGCAAGAGGATTTGCCCAATTAGTTGGGCCCGACATTGTTGCCGACATCGCGATCGCGACAGCCTACACCCGATACAATTACGCGCCTGAAGATGTTTACATAGGAATGGTTGCCTTGAAGCTTGGAATTCCCATCTACGAGGAGGCGACCATGTATGATCATGACCTCTACAGAAGACGTAATAGGAAAAGACGTCCAGCTATGATTGCTTTGGCTGAGTACTTCCCAACAACCTGACTTACACTTGTAGATCTACTAGACTTCTGCAGTGATCCCTTCCTTGTACACTTGGTCGTCTTCCCGCGTTTGACTGTGGCAATCGTGTTTTGCGCTTACTACTTTCCACTTCCACTCTGAGAACCCTACTCACACCACTTCACAGTAGACAAGAACAAGCTTGGCCATGCCACTGCTGGTGGTTCCCTACTTGTGCAAAGCAGTGATGTTAATTTGGGTCAGAAATTCACCACCTAACTCCTTTGTAAGTACAATTCAGAGCATAGAGTGGCCGAATGAATCGCGTTTAGATGTTGAACAAGAGGAGAGTCATTACACTTTTGCATAAAACTTGTTTCGCTTGATCAATGCTGTGTGTAGTTTGCGCGCCACTTTTGTGATTTCAAGGGTGCACACGAGATTGGCTTTTGAGCTGGGAGGAGGAGAGGGGAAGGGAACGCTTACCTTTGAAGTGAGGTGAAGGTGAGCAAGAGTGACGTTTGACGACTATCAACAGATTGGATAACTTGGTTATGGGCAGAGCTTTGGTGGTTGATTGGTAGTGTGCTTGCGCCAATTCCCTCACTTTTTGAAGCAATTAGGAATACACGTTTGGGTAAACATTGACCCGGACTCGAATACCACTTGTGAATTAAAAGGTGGAATCAAGCTTACACTTAGGAAGGAAATCATGCGACAGCGGGCTTCTGCCACTAACAGTGATGTGATGTCATTGATGCACAACCGACTTCGTTTTCGCTGAGCTGTCGGTAGAGGTGATGTGAATTATATGCCAATATGAGGGAGTATAATGTGATGTGGATGACAAGTTGTGAGATGCTTTGTTCGAAGCCATTGCAGTGTGCTCTTTGATGAGCGAAGTCGAGATCACCGCATTGCTGGAATGTGCCTTGCAACGCCACCACCAACTGAATGACGACGTAGTGTATGGAGGCGTGTGCAATGTCCTTCCGTGGCTAGTGAATTGGTGTGCATGAGCAGACGGATGGACGAAGGCACTGACTGCTTACCCACTTCAATTACTACTACTACTAAAACACTTTCATCGTATACGGTTAGAGAAGAGTGAGACATGACAATCGAAATTGCTCATTTTCGTCCATCTGCCACTGTGTTGCCGAATTAGCAGTCGCAGTGCATTAAAAATGCATTTATGCCTCGATGGGGGATGGACATTATGCCCACATGAATGTTGAAGAAATCGACAAACGTTTCGTTATGTCCATCGTGGTCTGCAACGAGAGGGACCTGTGGAGTATCTAGACGAAGATATGCTATCCCAGGTGGTTTCCTTCCTCATCTACCAAAGTACCGTTATCTAATTTAAAACGTGACCTCCAGCTGAGTGAATGCACTCGACTACCTACAATCCATCCCATATCTCCTCTTTCCACTTATAGCTAGCAGAATCTTGTTATCTGGCACAAAGCAGGATTTGTACACTGATACGGACCACCAGTGAAATAGGATAACAAATGAGCTGCCAACTCACAACAAACCTTACGATGTTTCTGATTGTTGACTCAAATCCCCATCTCCTTTCTCGTGGTAGGTATTGAGGTTTAGAGAGTGGGAGAGGAAGAGGGAGTGAGAGGAACAGACACCACCATTCATTTAAAAGCGTTCACGCTGTTTAAACAGACCTCTCACCCTGTGGTTGTGGGAGTAAGTGATTGTTCTATCACCATAGTATGTCGTAGGACAGGTGCTTGAGTAGGTACGAGCAGGCCTCCGCGGGTGATGAATGCACCATATTGTTGACGTTGCAGAAACTCACTCCATAGAGTCAAAGTAAGGAATTCACCACACCAGGCATTTATGTGGGCGTTTTTATTTCTAGCTCACCGTTTGTGGAAATAAAGGAATAGAC